CTGGCTTTTTCATTACTCCTGTTACCCTTGGGTACAAACCTCTCCTCAGCCTCCTTGCATTTTGTTGCTACATATTCCATCATCTCATTAACTGTGTGTGTGTGTGTGTGTGTGTGTGTGTGTGTGTGTGTGTGTGTGTTTTGTGTGTGTGTGTGTGTAGGTTGTGTGTGTGTGTGTGTGTGTGTGTGTGTGTGTGTGTGTGTGTGTGTGTGTGTGTGTGTATACTCACCTAATTGTGGTTACAGGGGTTGATACTCAGCTCCTGGCCCCGCCTCTTCACTGACCACTACTGGGTCCTCCCTCTCCCTGCTCCATGAGCTTTATCATACCTCATCTTAAAACTATGTATGGTTCCTACCTCCACTACATCGCTTGCCAGACTATTCCACTTCCTAACAACTCTGTGGCTGAAAAAATACTTCCTAACATCCCTTTGACTCATCTGAGTCTTCAGCTTCCAAATGTGACCCCTTGTTTCTGTGTCCCATCTCTGGAACATCCTGTCCACCTTGTCTATTCCACGCAGTATTTTGTGTGTCGTTATCATGTCTCCCCTAACCCACCTGTCTTCCAGTGTCGTCAGACCAATTTTCCTTAACCTTTCTTCGCAGGACATTCCCCTTAGCTCTGGAACCAGCCTTGTTGCAAACCTTTGCACTTTCTCTAATTTCTTGACGTGTTTGACTAGGTGTGGGTTCCAAACTGGTGCTGCGTACTCCAGCATGGGCCTGACGTACACAGTGTATAGAGTCTTGAATGATTTCTTACTGAGGTACCGCTATTCTCAGGTTTGCCAGGTGCCCATATGCCGCATCAGTTATCTTCATTACTTTACATTTGGCGGAGTTAAATTCTAGGAGCCAGTTGCTGGACTACGCATCCAGCCTATCCAGGTCTTTGTAAACCTGTCTGGTTCGCATCTGATTTAATTCTCATTAACTTCACATCATCTGCAAACAGGGACACTTCTGAGTCTATCCCTTCTGTCATGTCGTTCACATATACCAAGAATAGCACTGCTCCCAGGATTGACCCCTGCGGGACCTCGCTCATCACAGGCGCCCACTGTGATACCTCATCACGGACCATGACTCGCTGTTGTCTCCCTGTTAGGTATTCTCTGATCCATTGCAGTGCCCTTCCTGTTATATGAGCCTGATCCTCTAGCTTATGTATTAATCTCTTGTGAGGAACTGTGTCGAAGGTCTTCTTGCAGTCCAAGAAAATGCAATCAACCCACCCCTCCCTCTCATTTCTTCCTTCAGTTACTTTGTCATAAAACTCTAGTAGGTTTGTGACACAGGATTTGCCTTCCATGAATCTGTGCTGGCTGTCGTTTATAATTTTGTTCTGCTCCAGGTGCTCCACCACTCTCCTCCTGATAATCTTCTCCGTGACACTGGTCTATAGTTTAGGGCTTCATTTCTGTCTCCTTTCTTAAAAATGGGGACTACATATGCCTTCTTCCATACTTCAGGTAGTTGCCCAGTTTCAAGGGAAGTGTTGAAGATTTTGGTTAGTGGCACACATGTCATGTAGGGGGGGAGGGTAATGAATTAAAGGGGGAATATGGGAGTAAGAGGGGGGAATAAGTAGGTAGGTGACAGGCGAGGCAGTAGGAGGGGTGAGTGCGGAGGTAAGTAGGTAATGTGAGGTCACTGGTGACTACATCTTCACCTCTCATTACTCTACACTCCACTCCACACTACTCACCCTCTCACTACTTTAACTAAACATAAATAAATGGAAATAAGAATAAATAACGGGGACAGTGAATATTACTATTTTACTCAAACACAGTTTATTATTAAGTCCTTGTACAATAATATATTTGGGAACAGGAGTACATCATTGGGGTTTAGATAAATGGGGTGGTACACATAAGCAGTGAGACAGGGAACACAATCAACTTGACGAAAATGAATATAACTTACAATATAGCACAGAGGACAGTTCACTACAGGAACTAAGCCCGAGGTCCCAAGACCTACACAGCACGAGTACTGCTCCAAGCCAGTACTCTGCCCAATGTCTCCAACAGTCTCCTCCAGAGACTTCAGCAGCCTTCTCCCGAGCCCTGCACCCCAGCAGCAGCTCCGCTCGAATCTCCTGATCATGCTCTTCCTTGGGCTTTTATGGTGGTCCAAGCACCCTCCACAACCACGTGTACGACCTGACGCCTAGGTTTGACGCCGTCAAGAACAAAAGACCTCAGACGTGGGCGTGGCTACAGACGTTTGCCAAGGCAAGGTGTGACCATATAATTGGTTAAATTAGGTCTCCCCAGAGACCTCACAAGCCCAGCTGGACTACATCACACACACAATGTCTCTGCTCCCTCTCTAAGGACCCACAGAGAGATGTCCGGTCCCACCGCCTTTGAGGTATTAAGGTCACTTAGCTTCTTTACCTCCTCAGTTGTGTGTAATTCATCCAACACGTGTTGATATATCCCTTGTTGGTGCACACCATTGTTTTGTTTTTCCAGTGTCCCTTCAGCCTCCACTGTAAATACTTCCTGAAATCTCATGTTGAGCTCCTCACATACTTCTTGGTCATTTCTTGTGAGCTCCCCACCTTCTTTCCTCAGCCTGATTACCTGGTCCTTAACTGTTGTCTTCCTCCTGATGTGGCTGTAAAGCAGTTTCGGGTCAGACTTGACTTTCGATGCTATGTCGTTTTCATAGTGTCGCTGGGCCTCCCACCTTATCTGTGCATACTCGTTTCTGGCTCGTCGACTAACCTCTGTTTTCCTGAGTCCTTTGCCTTCTATACTTTTTCCATTCTCTAGACTCTAGAGAATGGAGTCTAGAGCATTTAATGAAAAGCAGGGGTGTTGCTAGCACGTTAAGAGACAATACAATAAGTGTCAGGCCCGAGACTGTTCAACTGCCTCCCAGCATACGTAAGGGGGATTGCCAAAAGACCCCTGGCTGTCTTCAAGCAGGCACTGGACAAGCACCTAAAGCCGGTACCTGACCAGCCAGGCTGTGGCTCGTACGTTGGATTGCGTGCAGCCAGCGGTAGCAGCCTGATCAGGCTCTGATCCACCTGGAGGCCTGGTCACAGACCGGGCCGCGGGGGCGTTGACCCCCGGAACTCTCTCCAAGTAAACTTAGTTTTCTGCCTCCCTACACCTTCGGGTAAACCAAAGGCTCGTTCTGTTCTTCCCATTGTTTCTGTTACTCTTGGGAACAAACCTTTCCTCTGCCTCCTTGCATTTTGTTGTTACGAATTGCATCATTTTGTTTACCGAGTTTCCTACCAACTCCCATTCCCACTGAACCTCCTGCAGGAAGGTCCTCATTCCTGTGTAGTCCCCCCTTTTATAGTTTGGCTTTTCCCTTTCTATTCCTGTTACCTTCTCCACTTTTAGCTCTATGATGTATTCAAAGCTCGGAACCACATGGTCACTAGCTCCAAAGGGCCTTTCATATGTGATGTGCTCAATGTCTGAGCTATTCAGGTGAACACAAGGTCCAGTCTTGCTGGTTCATCCTCCCCCCTCTCTTTCTGGTAGTGTCCTTAACATGTTGGTGCACGAGGTTTGCCAGCACAACATCCATCATCTTGGCTCTCCATGTTTCAGGACCCCCATGTGGCTCCAGGTTTTCCCAGTCAATCTCCCTGTGGTTGAAGTCGCCCATAACCAGTAATTTCGCTCTACTCGAGTGAGCTCTTCTTGCCACCTCAGCTAGTGTGTCCACCATTACTCTGTTGCACTCATCATATTCCTCTCTTGGCCTCCTGCAGTTCTGTGGTGGGTTATACATCACTACAATGACTACCTTATGTTCCCCTGACTGAACTGTACCTACTATGTAATCCCTTTCTCCAATCTCGTCCATTCCTTCCATTTCTTGATAACCCCACCGGATTTTAATTAGCAGTGCAGCCCCTCCTCCCCCTCTGCTCCTTCTAACCTTCCTCAGGATCTGATATCCGGGTGGGAAGATTGCATCTGTTACTGTCCAGTGAGTTTTGTTTCTGTGGTCGCTACAATGTCTGGGGACATCTCGATTTATTCGTTATTCCATCCGTGTTGGTGTACCAAACCTTCAGCTTCTTTTCTATAACTGTAGTCTGGGGAGAAAGGGGAGTGAGGGGGATGGGGAGAGAGGGCCTATGGGAGGTTACAGTTGGGGTGGGGTTTGTGGTGGGGGGATGGGGGGAGAGGGTACATTGTGTGGGTTACTGTGGGTTTCTGTGCAGGTGGGGTTTGAGCTGAGGGGGATGTGGGGGTTACTGTGGGTTTCTGTGGGGGTGGGGTCTGTGCTGAGGGGCAATGGGGCAGAGGGTACAGTGTGTTTTGGGTTAGGTTGTTTGACTGCTTTGGGATTGCTATGGTTGTGTTCCTTCTGTGGGTGGTACTGGAGGGGGTTGTGTTTGTTCTTCCACCTGGGCCTGATTTCTCCTGCTCCCCACCTTCCTTGCCTCCCATTCCTCCTTGCGACGGGGTTGTTAGTTACCATTTTGTCCTAGGCACATGTCGATTAGACACTAGGTCTGTAGTGTGTGTGTGTGTGTGTGTGTGTGTGTGTGTGTGTGTGTGTGTGTGTGTGTGTGTGTGTGTGTGTGTGTGTGTGTGTGTGTGTGTAGGTTTGAGAGAGAGAGAGAGAGAGAGAGGGGGGGGGGGTCACGGAATGCATCATGCTGCCAAACGAACAACCAGACTTTGTCAAACTGGCGTTTACATTTTAACTAACAAACACTACCCACGTAAATATGGGTAGGCTGTGCTACAGTTATCTATGATGCAGGGTTCAGCTCACAAGCTAAAGGACCCTGGTTCAATTACCGGGTTGGGCGAGCCTTCTTACATCCATTACCTCTGTTCACCTAGCAGTAACTAATCACCAAAGTGTTATATTCGACTTCAGAGTGACCCATCTGGAGAGGGGTTGGAAGAACTTCTTACACAAAGTTTATTTAGTATAAAAGAGCTTACCCTGTAAGTCCCATCTGTAAAAAAAGTCCTAAGTTCGTTTTACCTCCTGCAGGACCAACATCAACATGGGTGGCGGCAGCTGCGGCGTGTGCGATGCTGTGGCGTCCATGACGTGCGGCGGCTGCGGCACTATGCACTACTGCGGCAAGGAACACCAGAGGCAACACTGGCCGCAGCACCGCACTCAGTGCCCACCTTACAAGATGATCTCGTCTCCAGAGGCCGGCAGGCAAGTCCTTCACAACTATTATACAACAACAGTGTATGAACACAAAGAAGTGTGCATCTCTCAGTGTATACACACACGAAGTTCTTATCTCTATCCCAAACTGTCTTACATAAGAGGATATTTCCTCGCTGCATAAATTCGCACAGATCATAAGAGTACTGTGCAGCTTAGTACTCGGCGGAAGCACTCTGGAGAGTCGCTTCTCTGAACGAATCTGCCTGGATTTTCTACTGTGCAACACTGCAAGCTCCTGATGTGTTGACTGCAACACAAAAAGCCTAGAACTATCATTCAACTACCCACTATATATAATATATATATATATATATATATATATATATATATATATATATATATATATATATATATATTATATATATATATATGTCGTGCCGAATAGGCAGAACTTGCGATCTTGGCTTAAATAGCAACGATCATCTTGCCATATAGGACAAGTGAAAATTTGTGTATGCAATAATTTCGCCAAAATCATTCTGAACCTAACGAAAAAAATATATTTCACTGTGTTTGTTTAGTATTAAATTTTTGTAAACAAATCTAAAATATATTTAGTTGGGTTAGACTAAAATAAATTGTTCTTGTTATAATAAGGTTAGGTAAGTTTTCTAAGATTCTTTTGGAGCAAAATTTAAAATCTTTACATTAACATTAACGAAAAAATATATTTTTAAACGAATAAGAGAAAATTTTAGAAAGGACTTAATTTTAAATGAGTTCTTGCTAATTGACCAGTTTTACATATTCGGCACGACATATATGTATATATTTCCTTTATATAAAGGGAAGGGGGACAAGAGAGATTGTAAAAATTATAGGGGAATAAGTTTACTGAGTATACCAGGAAAAGTGTATGGTAGGGTTATTATTGAAAGAATTAGAGGTAAGACAGGGTAGGATTGTGGATGAGCAAGGATTTTAGAGTGGGTAGGGGATGTATAGATCAAGTGTTTACATTGAAACATATATGTGAACAGTATTTAGATAAGGTAGAGAAGTTTTCATTGCATTTATGGATTTAGAAAAGGCATATGATAGAGTGGATAGGGGAGCAATGTGGCAGATGTTGCAAGTATATGGAATAGGTGGTAGGCTACTAAATGCTGTAAAGAGTTTTTATGAGGATAGTGAGGCTCAGGTTAGGGTGTGAAGAAGAGAGGGAGACTACTTCCTGGTAAAAGTAGGTCTTAGACAGGGATGTGTAATGTCACCATGGTTGTTTAATATATTTATAGATGGGGTTGTAAAACAAGTAATTGCTAGGGTGTTTGGGAGAGGGGTGGGATTAAATTATGGGGAATCAAATACAAAATGGGAGTTGACGCAGCTACTTTTTTGCTGATGATACTGTGCTTATAGGTGATTCTAAAGAAAAGTTGCAAAGGTTAGTGGACGAGTTTGGGAGTGTGTGTGAAGGTAGGAAGTTGAAAGTGAACCTAGATAAGAGTAACGTGATGAGGGTATCAAATGATTTAGATAAAGAAAAATTGGATATCACATTGGAGAGGAGGAGTATGAAAGAAGTGAATGTTTTCAGATATTAGGTAGTTGATGTGTCAGTGAATGAGCTTGTGAAGGATGAGGTTAAAGATGGGACCGATGAGGAAAAGGCGAGTGGTGCATCGAGGTATATGTGGAGACAAAAAACGTTATCGATGGAGGCAAAAAAGGAAATGTATGAAAGTATAGTGGTACCAACACTCTTATATGGGTGTGAGGCTTGGGTTGTAAATGCTGCAGCGAGGAGGCGGTTGGAGGCAGTGGAGATGTCCTGTCTAATGGCAATGTGTGGTGTAAATATTATGCAGAGAATTAGAAGTGTGGAAATTAGAAGGTGTGGAGTTAATAAAAGCATTAGTCAGAGGGCTGAAGAGGGGTTCTTGAGGTGGTTTGGTCATTTATAGAGAATGGATCAACGTATAATGACATGGAAAGCGTATAAATCTGTAGGGGAAGGAAGGCTGAGTAGGGGTCATCCTCGAAAAGGTTGGAGGGAGGGGGTAAAGGAGGTTTTGTGGGCGAGGGGCTTGGACTGGATTCCAGCAAGTGTGCATGAGCGTGTTAGATAGAAGTGAATGGAGACGAATGGTTTTTGGGATCTGACGAGCTGTTGGAGTGTGAGCAGGGTAATATTTAGTGAAGGGATTCAGGGAAACCGGTTATTTTTATATAGCCGAACTTGAGTCCTGGAAATGGGAAGTACAATGCCTGCACTTTAAAGGAGGGGTTTGGGATATTGGCAGTTTGGACGGTATATAATTGGGGTCCTGATATTATATTCAATACTGAGTTAATTATATTATTCAGGTCAGTTTTTATATTGTATCTTTATATATGTTTCTAAACTGTTCTATCTGGGTGCCTCTGCAAAAACAGTATGTATAAGTGAGGTGAAAGTAATGAATGATGATTAAAGTATCTTCATTTGACGATTTTTTTTTCTTTCTTTTTGGCTCACCCTGCCTAGGTGGGAAACGGCCGACTTGTTGAAAATTTATATATATATATATATATATATATATATATATATATATTATATATATATATATATATATTATATGCAAACAATTTCCATGGGGATGGGGGGAATATTTAGCGTAAGTACTTTCACACTTCTCAGTTCGTCATCAGGAGCTGTGCAATGTTGCAAGGGAGCAACCAAAGCAGGGAGAAAGGTCTCAGAGTAGCGTAGGTGTCACGATCCACGGTTACCATGGTATGGTGACACCTTAAGTTGTCACAGTGGACGGTGACACCTTAAGGGTAACCGTGGACAGTGACACCTCCACTACTCTGAGACCTCTCTCCCTGCTTTGGTTGCTTCCTTGTAACATTGCACAGCTCCTGATGGTGCACTGAGAACTGTGAAAGTAGTTGAGCTAAAGATTCCCCCCCCCCCCCCGTGGCTTGTCCTGCATAGTTAAGATTGCCCGCCTGAGATTGTCTGCGCGCGCGCACGCGCGCACACACGCACACACACACACACCACCACACACACACACACACACACACACACACACTACGGCAATAACCGAGTCTAACTACACTGTTTTTTCCTATACCATATAAGTTAATGAACTAGAAGAGCACTTGTTTCGTGATCTATACTAAGTTGTGCATTCTTGCAGGTACCTGGTGGCGTCGCGTCGCCTGCCAGCGGGCCAGGTGTTGGTGGAGGAACAACCACTGGCTGTGGGTCCCCTGTCTATCTCAGAGCTTGTCTGTCTCGGCTGTCATGGTCCTATCATAGGCGACGACTTCCCCCGCTGTCCAGAGTGTTGGTGGCCACTATGTTCCCTAGAATGCGCCTCCAGCAGCCTTCACCAGGCAGAGTGTCCCATCCTGGCCACTGATGTCAAGCACATAGGGCCACCAACTACTCAGATGGAGACGCTTCGTTACGACGTCATTCTTTCCATTCGCTGCCTCCTCTTGAAGTCTAAGGACCCCACGGCGTGGCAGACACTTATGTCGATGGAGCATCACTCTGAGCAGCGACAGCTCAACCAAGAGGACAATCAGGTAGTTACTGTCCGCTACATGTCAGAAGTGCTGAAGCTGGACTACGATATTGAAACTCTTCATCAAATAAGAGCCGCCATAGCTACGAATGGCATGGAAATAAGAAGCGAGAAGAACACGAGAGTGAGAGCAATGTATCCGATGGTGCGGCTGTTCAACAACTCTTGTGTACCCAACGTGCACCTGTCTTGTGGCGTTGAGGGGACGATGCAAGCAAGGACTACAGTGCCCATCAAGATCGGAGAGCCTCTTTGTATCTGCTACACAGGGGCGCTAATGCCTGCCTGGGAACGATATGACACTTTAACCAAGACTTATCACTTTACGTGCAACTGTACCCGGTGTGAAGACCCTACAGAACTAGGAACCTATTTTTCCTGCCCCAGATGCCCAGATTGTACGGGGTGCTATATGTTGTCCTCCACATGGCTCGACGAGACTGTGTGGAGGTGTCCTACCTGCAAGCTGGAGAAGACTGACACTCAGGTTCGAGAGGACATCAACGACTGGCTTCAAAGAATATTAATGGACGACATATTTAACACCTTCAAGAGAGCCAAGGCTACGCTGCAGGAGGTAGAGGACCAGTTTCATGCTCAGCACTACGTATGGATGCGGGCGGCGCATTCAGCCTTGTACCAACTGTGCGACAACAACATTGAACCAGCGCTCAAGCTCAGGATTAAAATCTGGAAGAAACTCATGTATTTGTATAGCGTGCTTGAGCCAGGCCTCACGAAGAGAAGAGGTGAGAATCCTAATATGTGGGAAGCAGGACGACGACTCGCTGGCGCCGTGCTGGGTGTTATTTCTTGTTACTTTACTGTTTCTCTCATCCTTCCAACTCCTCCGCCAGGATGACTGGTAGGGGCAGTGCGGGGAGACTGGCAGTATATATCGAGGTCAGTTTCTGTTTAGAGTTATATATTTAGAAGAGATGTGGTATAGAAGTTAGTCTCGCGGCTTCACCTGTTGACATGTGAGGTTCGCCGGCCTGCTGCTGCTGAGTCCTGCCCGGGATAGCAGATAGTGTGTACAGTACTGCTACTCTAAAACTAATCTACTCCTCTAACCAGCTGATTCTAGTGATGACTCTGCATACATGTGGCCAATACTTATACAAAATACACTCCCCATAGTTTTAAAAGTGGGAAGAGTGCAGAAAGAATGGAAGGGAAATGAGAAGAGTTGAGTAGTGTTGTGTGTGTAGGTATAAGAAGTCAAAAGACAGACAATACAACTCTTCAAGCATTCTAGAAGATAATCCACTGTTAGCAATCACTTTAAATTTCTCTACATCACACACACGCACAATCATACATAGAAGGACCGCTTACATGTCCAGTCCCTTTTCATTTTTTTACAAGTGGCTAAATGTCAAGAGTGTAGTTCATTCTTGCTCCAGACACGAGTAATGAAACTAGGCTCATTAATAAACCTCACGACACCGAAATTTTCCTTTCTGAGAATATTTTATTAGTATTAAACATCTCTGAGCAAAGAGAAAGTTCCAGAGACCAACTTCTCTCAGTAATTAAATGTATAACACTAAAGACCGTGTTTAAGTGTTTAGTCAAGATATAATATCATGAAATACGTCAAAAGTCCAAAGCTAACCTTAGTGTTTTACAGAGTTAATATCACCACCAGAACAACACTTACGTTAAGTAATGTAACTGTTAGTTTTGTGTATGTATTTGTAGAACTGCTGTTCCTCAGTTTTTAATAATACATCGTTTCTAGCAGTATTAAGTTATGCTATGAACAAATTTCTAGTGTTGTGAACAAATCTGTCATATTAGACTAAAAAAAATTGAAAGCACTCGTTTCACACTGCATAGTCAATGTCTGTCATCAACGATAAGAGTCAAATTTAGACAGAGATAATATCCCCACTATTTACAAATGAAATACGCATAGATGTTGGGCTCTCATGTGAGTTCCCTTTAAAGTTGATGCAACACTAGCAGACACGAGGCTTCTACTTCTATACACATACTGTTCCCTGACCCAGCATCAGGCAAGCAGTAAGGGGAGGGGAGCAGTCTGCATTTTACTGTCACGTTTCTTCGGTCTTAACGGTGATTTTCAGTTTTGTGCTCCTGTATCAAAACATTCTCATATTGTAATTTCTTAAATTTGGTTAATCTACCTTACATAATGTAAACAGCGCATATACAGAAATATGTTCACGCATACGAGGTAAAAAACCAACGATGGCGTTAGGAGGAACAAATTATATATATATATATATATTATATATATATATATATATATTATATATATATATATATATCAAACGCTTCAGATTAATAATTATTGTCACTGCTGATAAATAACGACCGTTGTGTCTCCCAGGTATGACGCTGCTGGAGATGGGCATCATAATGCTTCGGGCAGCCAAACTGGAGTATGACGAGGGTGACCCTTTCATGCCAGAGTTCCTGAAGCAGCTGCAGGAGATATCAGAGTACCTGAAGGAGGCCACGCAGATCCTGCAGCTGGAGCCGGTCGGGACCCGAGGCCCGGCGCTGGCACAAAGAGCTGAAGAGAAGAGAGCGGAGGCAGAGGAATTTCTACATCGTCTTGACTCCAGCTCTGTGAGGGCCGAGTGATCTCCAGAGAAAAAAAAATGTTTACACTGATTAACCCAGGGTAATTCCTCTCCTCCCCTCCAAAAAAAACAAAAACAAAACCTAGTACCCTGACATTTTATTTGGAGTCCTTCGGTCTTCGTTCTTGCAATGTTATCCAATACAGCGGACTCCCTATTTGGGCAGAAGGTGTAAGGAGACTTGCTAATACAGCTTGCCCTGCCTTGCGAGACTGATGGGCCCAAGGAGTAATTAACCCAGATTCTCCTTTTATTCAACTAATAGGAAAGTAGACTTTGCTGTAGCCAGTTGTGTATAGAATAGTGGCTCTTGGCAGAGGATCTAGTTCACTTTACAATATATTTAAGCATTAACTGTTGTGCTATAAAGTCGGTGTGATAAAGGAGCTGTAGTATTTAATGAAGAAAACAAGTCACAGTACTCTGGCTATCAACATTCACAATTCGCAAACTAGAAAACGTTCCAGTCTGTACTGGTCAGTTATTAAGTAGCGACTTGATATGGTCGAGGAAGGATGGGAGGTCCTCAGGTACCATTTTCATTTTGTTGGATAAGCCACCTCTTGTTTCACGGGGAAGCGCCAAACCCGTCATGATGATAATGCCTGGGTAATGGAAGGCTCCTCCTAATCAGGACTTATGTGAAAAACGGATGTGTAGCAGCATTAAGACACTCCATAAAGGTTCAGGTGCCATGAATATATCCCTCCCTTACCAGGGAGATACAATATGTAAGATAATATAACATGCTGGTTATGCCATTTTATAGAAAAGACGTCTCGTTCACCATACTAAGAATTGATAAAAGTCCCTGGTGTAAGAAACGTCTTAAATTGCAACAAATCGCATACTGTATTTTATTAACATACTTGTACTGTATGTAAATCACTATTTTCACAATATATATATATATATATATATATATATATATATATATAATATATTATATATATATACACACAAGTAATTGGCATACAGTATAAGTTGGAATCGCCTACTTGGCCAACTTTCTCCAGAGTTGTGTAGTTACGTGGGATTAGCTGTTTTAAACACGATGACTGTCCAGTCATTATTTGTAAGTGTCCTCGTCGTTGTGATTTACATCGTGTTGCACAGATTACTGTCATTTTGTGTAGCCCAGTCAGTGTTAGTTTTTAATGGGGTACGATCTGATTATAACTCCTTTGTTTTCTAATACTGGCTCAGCTAAGCTACCTCTCTGCCCACCTCTCTCTCACTCCATCTCTCTCTCTCTCTCTCTCTCTCTCTCTCTAAAATTAATGTGGTTATAATTATAACCTTAATTTTTAAAGGAGGTGGACCTGTAAGCCAATGGAAGGCCTTGGTCAGATGACCAAAAGCTTCAGTGGTGGGACATCGTATGACTAAAGACCTGAGTCAGGAAACGCCTCCTGTTTCCTGACGAATTTTACCTAACCTAACCAAAGCTGTCACTGTCGGTATATTATACTATTTTTAACATACCCCCCCCCCTCTCTCTCTATATCCTGGTATCACAAGAATCTTCACCTTACATATTACTGTAACACTCACACAGTATCACTCAACAATGTTACGCTCCAGATTAAACAATAAAACGAGAACAACACAATACTGATATTTTACAAGAGCATTTGTTACTGTTCTTGTTATCATACTTGGACTTGTATATAAAATTCTGCCCCTTTTCCGTTCTACTTAAGGACAACTTATTCTGTAAATCTGGTTTTCTGTTTTTAAATTTAGATTTTTTTTTATTGTGGATTTTTATAAAATTTAAAAGTATAAAGTGACAAACACAAATAATCGTTTTAATGAACCTGATATTATTAGTTATCACAGAGAAAGTTATACTAGTCAGAATTTTTTTTTCCTTGCAGGTTTATAAGACTCCCCATGTGATAAGCTTTCAATTTTTAACACTGGTGAAGGATAACCAGGGGAGAGTTGGATAATTATTGGGGATAACAGTATGCCGTCTCTTCACGACTCGCGAAATCTTAATGACACGATTGCAAACAAACCATACCACGGGCGGGGTTCTATCCCCGCCCGTGGTATGGTTCGCCCTCCCTTCAATTTTGTAAAGTCACTGGTGTGATTTTATAAAGCTTCCGATCAGCTTTAAACTTCTAACACAGTTGTATCCTGTTTAGGAGAAGCTTGGCACGGTTATTGCAGTGTATAGGCGCTAATTTTGCAATTTTATTCCAAAAATGTGTGAAATAATTTATCAATTTTATTTTTAAAAGATACATTTAAAAATAAAATTGGTAAATTATTTTACAAGATACATGTAAAATAATTTACCAGTTTTATTTAGGAAAGATACAAGTGAAATAATTCGAGCATGCCTTGTCTGAACATCTGTAATATTTAATTGTTAATGTATCTTATGAAATGGATATTTTCGAAGTTCAGGCTCTACAGGTGCAATTTTTCCAATTTAAAAATAGTAGTTACATTTAAAATTGTTGGATTTTATGTAGTAGCTGGACAATGTCTCTTCTGATCGCCTTCAAACTTTTAGTGCCGGTTTTTTTTTCTCAAAGGTACACATTGATTTAGGGTTGTGCATCTTCCAATTTTCAATTTTTATGAACGAAATTGGTTTCCGTGAAATAACTGGAGAATGCCTATCACGGTCGACTTCAAATTTTAGTCAGAGAACAGTATGGACTGATATTAGGCTGTGTAGGGCCCAATGTGAACATTTTATTGAAGAAATTATATTACTTTCCATTTGATAAGATGTGAATACTTTTTCTGATCAGGTTCAGATCGTCATCGCTGGTAGTGAAGGTCATTAAAAACTTATTTCATGCTCTGTAATATTCAGTTAAGGTGCAGTGAGGTGCTGGGGGAGGATAGCAGGGCTTAGGGGGGTAAGAGGTGTATGACCCATGTGGGTTTAGCGCTCAGTTTTGATAAGAGGCGATATTGGGCAAGCACACCATTCTAGGACAGCGTGTATGTCGCTTGTCAGATCATCCAGTCACTTACCTAGTGATTGACCTTATACGCTGTAAGAGCATAAGGTTTATTGCAGTAAACTATCAGTGTATATAAAATAAGAAGTGTACATCTTGGTGTATATACATTAAGTATACCACTGTATATACCATTGTTTACATTTTAAATCGTCTACATTATCATTTTAAACTCGGGCAAGAAGCTAAGAACTGTGAATAATCATCCTCATAATATTATTAGGATTATATTCACTTTTTTTTTTTTTTTTTTTTTTTTTTTTTTTTTTTTTTTTGTTCCAGAAAATATCATCTACACAAGAAACATTAAATACAACTCCTTGTAGTCACTAAAATAAAGGATACTTTAATTTCAAAGTACACTATCTAAACTGAATACATTTACCGAGACAGGTATCCCAGCACTCCACAAGCCTCGTCCCGTTCGTGAAAATACACAAAGTATAGCGTAAGTTTTTGATGCAGGTAAATATCAGAGGAATATTTGAGACCAAACAAAAGCGGCATTCAAAAGTTATGGTGTAGAAGTTAATAACCCCTTTTTAAACCTTCCACTCAGAAGAACCAGCTCTGAAAATTTAAACTCAATCAGAAAAGACATTCGTTACTACATGGAGACCAGTATCCCAACCGGTTTAATAATAAAAAACTAACTTAATGCTTACACTCGTCAGTAACAATAGGCACCTTCAAGTGATGAGTGCTTAACATGACTCACGAAATCGTAATGACACGATTTCAAACAAACCATACCACGGATGGGGATAGAACCCGCGATCCGTCTCAAAACTCCAGACCGTCGCGTTAGCCCAGTGGCTAACGCGACAGTCTGGAGTTTTGAGACTATGATCGCGGGTTTTATCCCCATCCGTGGTATGGTCTGTTGAGTGCTTAAGTTTCAAAGACACTCTGGTGAGGCAATCACGAATAATCCCGCGAAAATCAGAATTTCAATTTTCCCACTTAATAACATTAGCTGCAATTTTTACATTAGTAACCATTATGTCAGGGTTAACATTATCAACAACAAAACTGGCACCTGCATATTCCAAACCCCGTGGCCTGGTTGGCAAAGCTCTCACTTCACACGCTGAGGGTCCGGGTTCGATTCACGGCGGGGTAGAAAAACATTTCGACGCTTTCCTTACACCTGTTGTCCTGCTCACCTAGCAAGTAGGTACCTGGGTTTTAATCGATTGGTGTGGGTCGCATCTTGGGTGACAAGATTGAAGACCCCAATGGAAATCAGACAGACAGTCCCTCGATGACACACTGCCTTTCTAGGGTTATCCTGGTTGGCTAACCCTCCAGATTTAAAAATCCGAAAAAAATCTTATCTTACACCAGTGTTTAAGACTTGAAGCCGATCAGAAGCGGCGGTCTCCAGTTACTGCACGAAAAAATAATTAGTTTAATAAAACTGGCAAATTAGATATACAGCAAAAAAATCATCTTTCTTTGAAAAATCACGCCCAGTTAAAAGTTTGAAGTCGATTAGAAGACACACACTCCCAAATGACGCTATGATAGTAATTTTGTAAAATTACAAGTACAAAGCCTAAACCCAAAAAGGTGGCATGCTCGTAGTAAGAAACATCAGCCAAAGATCTGATGCTGGTCAAAAGAGGTATATTGAAGTTATTTGCTTTAAATACCATACATTTTAAAACTGAAATTGGAACATTGTCAGTTAAGACATTCCAATAACAGGCAGTAGTTTATTTTAAACAGGAAACACCAGTGTTGGAAGTTTCATGTCCATCACAAGAAACATTCTCAAGTTATCATACTGAAACTCAAATCAATAATAGCTTCATAAAATTAACAAAGGATCACCTACCCATCCCACCAGTTTGATGAACCATCTCCAAATCACGGGTTTACCAGCACTGAAACTTTTATGCTGGTGTCATGACTCACGAAATCGTAATAACACGATTGTAAACAAATCACAGAACGGTTGGGGCTTCAGCCCACGACAAGCGAGTCGTAAAACTCTCAACCCTTTGAGGAAATGGTATGGTGATACCGACATGTGGAAAAAGACACTTGTGTGCAGTTCAGGACATTTATTAAAGGAAACGTTTCGCCACGAGTGGCTTCTGGGTAATACCCATCCTGGGAATGTTACATGATGTCAGCAGGTCCCTCTCTAACCTCACCTCCTTAGTTCCACTACTACTACTACTATCACCTCTACCCACGCGTCACTTCACCTGACTCCTGCCGCTATATATATGCGTTTTCTTAGTTTTCTCTGTATTAGGACTGAAGACGCCACTCGTGGCGAAACATTTCCTTTAATAAATGTCCTGAACTGTACATAAGTGTGTTTTTCCACATCTCAACCCTTTGTTACCCACTAGTCCATGACGGCCTAATAAGAGTCATCCAACAATGGGGCCACATGTATAGAAATATACTAACTGGATGTATCTTTTTTAGTCTAACATGGACCAGTGGATAGCACACTGGCCTGCGAGTTTTAAGACTCGCCTGCCATGGATTCGAACCCCTCCTGTACTGTGGTATAAGCAGGTGGGAAGAAGAGTTGTAATTAAAAAAAAAAAGACCTTGGAAGAAAAATTACTAACTCATTATACGACCAGCTCTATTTTGCAGCAGCTTGACAATATATTTGAGAATTCTTTAAATTTGGCAAACATAAAAATGCAAGTTTTTAGTTTACCTCAGTTTTCTTAATTCTGTTAAATTCCAATTAAAATTTACTACAATTTCGTCAGAGCAAGGGTTCCTAACCGGGGGTATCCATACCCCTTGGGGGTATGGATGCCAAACAATGGGAAAGTATGGGACTATATCTCTGAATTTAAAAAAAAAGTTGTCAGATTAGAGTAAACTATCAGCTGTTCTGTTACTAGCTACCCATATGTAAAGTAAAACCAAGTTGCTGACATCTTTTGAAATCATTCTGATAACTGAAAGGACTGATGATGATTATTTCCACAGTCTGGTGAAGGGGTTATGGGGACAAACTGAGCAGTAAAAAGATTAAGTATCCCTGTGTTTAATAAAACATTTATTTTTATTCTTTTAAGGAACTGGAATTAGGTATTCCTGAAGGGATACTATAAAGTAATTGACAGATTTTTTTTTATATACTTTAGAACGTCTCTGATATACCTCAAATTTCCAACGTTGGTCTACAGTAACTAGGTAAATGTTCATGCAACATTCGACATTCACAGGTGCCCTTCTGGTTAATTTTATAAAAACTACTCCTGAGTGTGCTTTCAATGGAGTAACTTGAGAAAGCCTCCTCTGGTCGCCTTCATTATACGTTGATGTAGGCTACTCGAGAGAGGGAGGCTGCTGCTGCTGGTGGAATGTGTAGTACCTAGTTTCAAATTTTTTGTTTAAAATAGTAGTGGTTTCCCCGTGAAATAACTTAAGTACATCTCTCTTAAAAGGCGTCAGTATTTAATGACTAATGCACTGTGTAGTATTATTATAATAA